TTGTTTTGGAATGGTTATTCATATCCCTGTAAGAAACAAAAATTTCAGCTAGAGCACAGAGCACGGTTTCCACTGTATACTGTTTACGTGCAGAATATAGTCAAAACAGTTTCTTTTTCTACAGGTGTGTCAAGAAGTGAGTCCTTCCAGACCCACTTCTTTACAAAGATATTTAGACCAGTTTATCTCTTCCCCTTCCCCTCCAGCTGGGTTATGTCATTCATCTATAATAAAGTTAAATTCACTTGTAGCAGTATACATTTAATCTTCCTTCCTCCCCACTGTCCTGGTTGAGGGTTTCCATCTTGCATATGGTAAAAATGACTCTTTAATGGTCTAGTTCTATGAGTTTTAAAAGTGTAGAGAGTCACATGTCCACCACCACAGTAATATCATCTCAGTAGTTATGTCACACTAGTAGTTCATTGTTTTTTAGTAATATTCCATTGAAAAATATACACTAATTTATTTATCTATTTAGAGAAATTTATTTATCCATTTAGAAATGGTTATTTGGCATCACCAACTCAAAGGCCATGAGTCTGAGCAAACTCTGGGAGATAGTGAAGGACAGGGAAGCCTGGCGTGCTGCAGTCCGTGGGGTCACAGAGTTGAACACAACTTAGTGACAGAACAGCAGCAATTTAAACCTTTACTTGTTGCTGGACACCTGGTTTGTCTCCCCCAGGCTTGGCCCTTCTAGATCTAGTTGCAGTAAACATTCTGATACAAGCCTTTTTGTGGACACAACCCTTTGTTTATTTTGGTTAGATACCTAGAAGTGGAGTTGCCAGAACATAAGGAAAGAGGATGTCTACTTTAAAAAAAAAAATCTACTAAAATTTTTCCAAAGTGCTTGTACAATTTTATATTAACTAGTGATGATGAATGAACATTCCAGTTCCTCCACATTATCATCATTTTGCTCTAGAGGATTTTAATCTTAGCCACTCTAAAATTAAAATGCTATGTCACATGGTTTTAGTTTGCATGTCCTGCTGGCTAGCGATGTCGCGCACACTTTGATGGCTGTTGGCCTGTACCCACCATCACACCTACAGAGTCACTTGTCATGTTGACACGTTGAGAAAATACACACAGGTTGTGGATACAGGACGTGGACATCGCTGGGAGTCCATGACTCTGCCTGTCACATGTGGTATGGATGTAGCAGAGTGTGCTAACGACGCCTTTGTTAAAGAGCATCTGGGTTGTTTCCCGTTTCTGACTATTATGTATAAAGCGTCTGTGAACATCCGGGTGCTGCTTTCTATATGCTCACGTTTTCATTTCTCTGGGGTAAATGAATGGGAGTGCAATTACTGGTTTTTTCTGACCCATTGGATATTCAAGAGTATGTTTAATTTTCATCTGTATGTTAGATCTTATGTTAGTTTACTCTGCTGTGGGCTGATGTAACTGTTCTGAGCACGTTAAGGCAGGCTAGGCCAAGCTTTGATGTTCAGTAGGTTAGGTGCATTCAATCCATTTTGGCTCAACAGTATTTTCAGCTTACTATTGTTGACAGGGATGCAACCCCGTCAGCTGGTGCTGGTGGTAAAGAATCTGCCTGCCAAGGGAGGAGACGCAGGTTCGATCCCCGGGTCGGGAACCTCCCCAGAGGAGGGCACATCAACGCATTCCTGTATTCCTGCCTGAAGACTCCCGTGGGCAGAGGAGCCTGGTGGGCTGCAGTCCACAGCGTCGCAGAATCGGACGTGACCAAAGTGAATGCACGTGCACACGGACCCCCTCATGTCACAGAAGATCTGTATTTTGCTCTTTTACCTACATACCAAGTTCTGTACTTAAACGATCTTTATTTCATTCCTAAAAGTTGTCTTGTTCTTTCCCCCAAGCGTATCTGCTCATTGTTTGTCTGTGTACCTTTTACCCTGGGTTTCCCAGCTGGCCCTGGTGGTGAAGAACCTGCCTGCCACCGCAGGGGATATGAGAGATGCGGGTTCCATCTGTGGGTCGGGAAGCTCCCCTGGGGGAGGGCACAGCAACGACTCCAGTGTTCCTGCCTGGAGGCTCCCGTGGGCAGAGGGGCCTGGCGGGCTAGAGTGCGCGGGGTCGCAGAGTCAGACCCGGGTGAAGCAACTAAACATGCACCTTTTACCCTAGCTCAACAGTTTATATCTAGCTGTTTCCTATTTGGGGTCTGACAGTTCTAAGATCTGAAGTCCTAAGGTGTCTAAACTGTTGCTGCCTGTAGCTTTCACTGGTGGCGGCTTATTCTGTGTTTGGTGACCTTGATTCTAAGCTCACAGATGGTTGATTTTAATCTGTGGGCACCCCAAGGTCTAAGTTAAGAATGCTGTCCTTCAGAGAAGATTCCTATTTGCTCTGGCCTGAAGGCTCCCAAGTGGGAGCCACTCTACCCCTCTCTCGCGGTCTTTGGTAAATGCAGATTCTAAGGTCCACCTTCCCTGTCCTCCTCTCCCAAAGCTAGTCTTCTGACTCATCGACTACGCTGAATGCAAAGTATGGAATACACTGAAGATACATCCTTAAGGAAACCTGAGAGACCTCGGGATTTCTTCTTCCATTTAGAAAGCACATTTTTACACAGGATTGACTGTTTTGTTTAGAATAGGCCATCAATAGTAGAAACTTATGCGTTGTTCTTTTAAATTTTTTTTGTATATGCTCTTCCTGAACTGGCTTACTCAGGACTTCCCCGCCGGTCCAGCTGTTGAGACTCCAAGCTCCCGAAGCAGGTGGCATGGGTTTGATCCCTGGTCACCAAACTAAGATCCCGCATACCACACAGCATGGCCAAAACCCCCAAAACCCTAAATTGGCTTTCTCCTCCCCTAAGTCCAGCTAACTCTAGCAATTCAACCCAATTGTTTCCAAATTCCTGCATTGCTGCTTTATTTGCATACTTATTCTTCTGTTCTGTTACTTCTTTAAAATGCCCAGTTACTTTTTTTCACTTTAGATTATAAATAGACAAACTATGTACCAACTCTTACTTACTTTTCCCCTACCTATGTACACCTCAGCACAGTGCCTGCCTCCTAATAAATGCTCGCTGAAAATGTTCTGTCTTCGATATTTTCTGTCAAAGTGGTTTGTGTAGAGTTGGAGATAATGTTTGTTTAGTGAAGAATTCGCTGGAGATAGAAAATGGGGAGTTGAGTTTTCTTAGCAAACATTCCAAATATGACTGTTGGCGGAAGGATTTCTGAGTGGCATGAAGAATGGAGATAAGGGGTAGGAAGTTTAAATGTTAATTTTCTTTCAAAAGGCACGCACAGCTAAACAACCCTGGGTCATAAAGAGCTTTTTGTTTTCAAAACTGGCCTTTGCCCTGAAGTTAACCAGTTAGCAGTGAATAACGCGAACGTAGCTATGATGCCCCCTCGTGGCCATTCTCTGCCAGCGCAGAGGGTCTTCAGCAAAGAGACAGGCTGGGAATTCTGAAATGCAGATATTCTGTCCTTTAAGCCGAATTTATCCACTCAGAAATCTAAAAAGATTTCACTTTCTCCAGAAAACACTCGTAAAAGAACAAACTATGGCTGAATAAATAAAACCCATTCTCTTAAAAAATAATTAATACGTACCAATTTCTTTTCCCCACTAAAATATTGACCTTTACCGCTTGACAGTCAGAAAACTGACTTATTCATGATCCTTGCTCCCAAATAGCTCAGCGTATTGTGGGGATACAGACAGACAAACAAAAACTCTTACTCACTGAGACAAATTCAATGTGGGTTTGCACAAAATCCAAAAGAAGAGGTGAGCCAAAGATGGGGTAGAGAGGCGGTGACCCTTGGCTTACGTTTTGGAAGGTGGGCACACATGTTGGCTCTGGTAGGAGGAGGGAATCCCAGGCGGCTGAGGCTGGGGTGAGGCCGACTCTGGTACTTCCCGGTGGCAGCTTGATCACAGGCTGCCCGTGGGGCTTTGGCCAAAAGAAGCCAGGACTGAGTGCAGGACTCCAACAGTGCAGGGACGCGGGCATCGCGTGCGGAATTCAGGTTTGCGTGTTGGAAACGAGGGATCAGAGATAAACTTAACCTGGCGAGCGGTGGCGGTGGCGCTGGCGCTTTAGTCTCTGAGTCGTGTTCGACTCTCGCAACTGTAGCTGCAGCCCACGGGCTCCTCTGTGAGACTTCCCAGGCCGGCACACGGGTGGGCTTCCACCTCCTCCTCCAGGGATCTTCCCGACCCAGGGGTGGGACCCGGTCTCCTGCACTGCAGGCGGCTTCTTTACTGACTGAGCCCAGGGAGGCCCAGGTGTACGTTACGTGGACTTCCACCCCAGTATCCTCGCCTGGGGAGGGACTGGATCTGAGAACATGGTTTCTGCGGCTGCGCTGGGTCTCAGTCGAGCACGCAGGCTCCTCTGTTGCTGTGGGCAGGCGACTCTCGAGTGCACTGAGTTGCTCCACGGCAGGGGTGTCTCACCTGAGTCTCAGTCGAGCACGCAGGCTCCTCTGTTGCTGTGGGCAGGCGACTCTCGAGTGCACTGAGTTGCTCCACGGCAGGGGTGTCTCACCTGAGTCTCAGTCGAGCACGCAGTCTCCTCTGTCGTGGTGGGCAGGCGTCCCTCTGGCGGTGGACTCAGCTGCTCCACAGCAACGGAGATCTTAGCTCCCTGACCAGGGCTGGAACCCGAGTCCCCTGAATTGCAAGGGGACTTGGAGATTCTTAACCACCGGACCACCACATAAGTCCTTTTTTTTTTTTCATATTTATGTGAGGGATTAGATTTTAAGTGAGAGATCTGGGCGTTAGCGTGGAGGAGAGACTGGAGGGGCAGTAGTAACTCAAGACTATTGTAACAGTTCAGGAGGTAACTGTCCAGGTGTTGCAGTGGAGATGCAGAACCGGAGAAAAATTCCAGAGACACTTCCTGATACATCTGAACACAAGTGGTGGCCAACTGCGCAGGAGGTGAGAGGCACGGGAGGGAAAATATCACCTGTCTGCCTGGGTAAAATACTATGAACTAAGAGAAAAAATGTAAGGAGAGGAACGGATGGGAGCAGGGATTGAGTTTATTTGGAGACACGTTCAGCATAAGACATCTGCAATACATTGAGAGAGATTTTACTTGGCCTCTGGAAGCATGAGTCTGGAGCTCAAGAGAGAGAATTCTAGAATGATGCTATCTATTCAGGGAATTCCCCAGCCTTTGAGTGTGGCTGACTTAAAGAGTCACATCTGCTGAACAGAAAAGAATGGAAGTGAGAGTGACGACTTGAGAGACCAGGTTATAGGAGGCACAGCGGTCTCCTGCTTGCCTCCTCTCTCGGTTCACTTCCTCCGGGGGAAGGCCGTCGCCACGTGATGAGGACACAGCTACGAAGATGGAGAGGAAGGCAAGCCTGGAGCCACCAGACAGCAAGGAGCTGCCGCCAACAGCCACACAAGCGAGACTGAGGAGGAGCTTCAGCCCCAGTCAAACCGAGATGCTGCAGCTCCGTTCAACGTCTCGGCTGCAAGCGCATGGAAGACCCTCGGGACAGGATCCTCGCGAGGGTGCCCGGAACCGCTGCTCCCAGACTGTGCCGTGGTAAGCAGGCACCATGGACGCTACTGGGCTCGGGGACAACGTGTTCTGTGCAACAGGAAACCGACACAGGCGGCCACGCGGGCGCGGGGAGAGCGCTGTTTCTGGCCCACCAGTTTCTGCTCGGCTCCAACTGCCACCACTGTCGATTTAAAACAAACGCACAGCGAGAGTGGCGGGGTGAGTTTTGTTTGGTGCGGTCACTGGAATGGCATGGTAATATGAAATGCTAACAGGAACAGTAACATGAAATATAAAAAGGATGACCAGATAGTTCTTATGTCCAAATCTGAAGTAAAATTACAGAGTGATCAGCTCATTACTTTCCGTAGCAACTAGGAATTACTACCTTCAAAATACTCATTCTTTCAATGCTTATTTTTGGATTGCCTCCTATTTGACAGGTACCATGTTTGGTTCTACATTGATGAATAAAACAAGGTTTTCTGCAGAGAAGAGATCTTGGTCTAGGCAGTATTCATTATATACATCTTACAAATTTACTATGGCTTTTGAAACTAAAGAAAAAATTTTCCAAAAAGTTAACTGTCTCATTAAGAATGCATATGCACAGAAATAGTAACTCAAAATTTCACAGGCTCATAAATACTTAGAAACTCTAAACTGCTAACTGGCTATTTCAGCTGATGTGATAACCTATCTCACCAACTGCCTGTGTACTTTCCCAAAGTACATTCTTACCACACAGACATTTTTAAAACAATGAACTATTTCATCCACTCTTGCACACCTACTCTTAGTAAAACACAGAACAAGTTGTAGTTTTTAAATATGGACGCTGAAAGCAATTTACACCAATCATATTGTTCAAGTGAAACAGAAGTCCTGAATTTTGTTAACACCACGAGCACATCAGAAAACCTGGGGAGACCAACTGTGACTGAATGTGTGAAGCTGTCAGAGTTAATCTTCATCATCTCTTTGAAGAGGTATTATCTGAATTTCTTTGGCTATCCTTTCTGCTAATGTTTTACTGCTTGAAGCAATTACTCTTCGTGACATCAAATCAAATGGTCCACCTAAAATCAAACATGGAAAATGGTTATATCTTGTAAAAAATAATTCCTACAAAACAAGCATAGCAGTATGTACTGTGGTTGATCGTAACATTTTATATTTTCTATTATCTTGAAAAAAAGCTACACTGTGTCATAACCACAATGTTTAAGCTTTGCTAATACATAAATGAGTTTCTCAGCATCTTTTAGAAATCCCAGTTTTGAAGGAAGTGGGGGGTCTGACACACGTCATCTTTATTTCATGTTTGGGACCTACTGACAGAAAAGCCGAGGCCAGGGATCTGCACGCTGCTCTCCTTCCCAGCTCCTTAATTCTTTGCTGCTTTTCTCCAAGACAGCTGGTGAATTATTTTAACCCAGGTTCACTCTTTACTTTTAAAAATTTCATCATCAGTGCAGAGAAAGTATGTAACTCCCCTAGGGCCAAGGCAGAAAGGGATGGTGGAGGAGGCCCATACTCAGCTGCCACCACAGTCACCACTCAAAGAGCTTTTGGCACAACCTCAGATCTGGTGCCCTTCTAGACTTTCTCTATAGCCTCTCTAGAGTTCCTGGTACTCATAGTTGAAGAGGCTTGAAAGTGAAAGTGAAAGTCGCTTGTGACCCCATGGACTATACAGTCCCTGGAATTCTCCAGGCCAGAATACTGGAGTGGGTAGCCTTTCCCTTCTCCAGGGGATCTTCCCAACCCATAGATTGAACCCGGGTCTCCTGCATTGCAGGCGGATTCTTTACCAGCTGAGCCACCAGGGAAGCCCTGAAGAGGCTTAGCTATTTATTAATTGCACACTACCATTAACTTTTCATTTTTGCCTCAGTCTCCCAATATATGCCATTTTGATTCTGCAGAAAATTACATGGTTTGAGTTGCCTTGAAGAACTGAAGTATAAACATTGAAAAAATATTAAAGGGAAACATTAAAAGATACATCTAAAAAAAAAGGCCATATTTGGAGGACAGTCCCATAGGTATGGAAAGAAATGTTTTCTGGTTCCGCGGTTTTACCTGTGACATCCAGGAGCACTCCGCCAGCTTCAGTCACAATGATGCCAGCACCTGCAACATCCCAGCAGTGAATCCCCATTTCATAATACGCGTCCGCAGCCCCAGCGGCCACCAGGCACATGTTCAGAGCTGCTGTTCCAACACCCCGGATCCTAACAGACAAGACAGGAAAAAATAATTCTTCAAGTAAGGCATTCCTCCTTAGCTTCAGTTTCAAGTATGGACTGAGAACACTTGAACCAATCTACCGAATGTTAAAAAAAAAAAAGGTGGCACTGAATTTTAAAATCAAAATACGTAAAACCTAATTATCATGATACACTAAATAAATGACAGAATGAATCCTAACAAACCAATCAGGTGTAAGGTAAACATTAAAACGATGATACTTTGGGAAGAAAATCACTGAAGAAAATGCTGTAATTCTGCTGCCACAGCATGCATGCCTCGTCACTGTGGTCTAAACCCGGGGACGACAGCCCCACGACACAAGGAGTCTGGCGGAGCTTCGTGCGAGGGTGCCCCTGGTCGCCCCCAGTGGCGCGGGCATCAGCACGTGCGACCAGGAGGTGGCAGCCCTGCCGGGCCTTCTCACTGAACCTTGTCCTTGGAAATACACCAAGTCAGGGTGAGTACAGACATCATTATATCAGCCATTGTAATAATAACTGATTCAGGAAAGAATCATCAATAAATGCTAAAATGATTGATATTTACACATTGAAGTATCTCCCTATAAGATACATCATAATTACAATGGGAAAGATGGCAAGATCACTACTGAGTGATCAGAGTTAGCATCCAGTAATGGGACAAACGGCGTCCCTGGTGGCTCAGCTGGAAAAGAATCCACCTGCAATGTGACCTGGGTTCAGTCCCTGGGTCGGGGGGTTCCCTGGAGGAGGGCGTGGTCACCCGCTGCAGTGTTCTGCCTGGAGACTCCCACGGACAGAGGAGCCTGGCGGGCTGCAGTCCCTGGGGTCACAGAGTTGGATACACACACACGCACACGACGGAACAAAGGTGCCCTGTGTCTCCTGACAGAATGCACTGAGGAGGACATAACAGTGCTTCTGTTGCATTCCTGACAAAATTGCATAACCCAAATCTAATCAAGGAAATCCAACAAACTCAAATCAAAACACATGCTGTAAAGCAACTGCCCTACATTCTTCAAAAATGTCACGGTCATAAAAGATAAAGGCTAAGCAACTGTTCCAGATTAAAGGGCATTGATGAGGGCTTCCCTGGTGGCTCAATAGTAAAGAATCTGCCTGCCAATGCAGGGATACAGGTTCGATCCTTGGTCCGGGAAGACCCCACGTGCCAAGGAGCAACTAAGCCCAAGCACCACAACTCCTGAGCCAGGGCTCTGGAGCCTGGGAGCGGCAACTTCTGCGCCTGTGCGGGGGCTGTGCTCCCAGACCAGATGAGCCCCCACAAGGAGGAGCCCCAGCCGCCGCAGCTCAAGAAAGCCTGTGGGCCACAACAAAAATATTACTCAGCCATTAAAAAGAATTCATTTGAATCAGTTCTAATGAGATGGATGAAACTGGAGCCCATTATACAGAGTGAAGTAAGCCAGAAAGATAAAGACCATTACAGTATACTAACACATATATATGGAATTTAGAAAGATGGTAATGATAACCCTATATGCAAAACAGAAAAAGAGACACAGATGTATAGAACAGACTTTTGGACTCTGTGGGAGAAGGCGAGGGTGGGATGTTTCAAGAGAACAGCATCGAGACATGTATATTATCTATAGTGAAACAGATCACCAGCCCAGGTTGGATGCATGAGACAAGTGCTCGGGCCTGGTGCACTGGGAAGACCCAGAGGGATCGGGTAGAGAGGGAGGTGGGAAGGGGGATCGAGATGGGGAATACATGTAACTCCATGGCTGATTCATGTCAATGTATGACAAAACCACTACAATATTGTAAAGTAATTAGCCTCCAACTAATAAAAATTAAAAAAAAACAAAAAAGAAAAAAAAAACAAAAAACAAAAACAACCAACCAAACAAACAAAAAAGACCCAGTACAGCCAAATTATATAAATCTTAAAAAAAAAAAAAAGGCTTGATAAGAATAACACTTAAAGTGCAGCATGTGATTCTGGCTTGGACCTTGGATTAGAATTCTTTCAAAATTTAATTGTCACTATATTAGACAATGTATCAAAGCTAATTTCCTGATTTTTATGACTGTGTTGTGGTTATCTTAGAGTATGTCCCTTTTATCACAAATATACACACTGAAGTATTTAAGAAAAAGGAGTTGCCATGTCTGTAAATTAACTACTTTCAAGTGGTTTTTACTCAAACTTCTTCTTTTAATTGTTTGAAAGTGAAAGTGAAGTTGCTCAGTTGTGTCTGATTCTTTGTGACCCCATGGACTGTAGCCCACCAGGTTCCTCCGTCCATGGGATTTTCTGGGCAAGAATACTGGAGTGGATTGCCATTTCCTTCTCTAGGGGATCCTCCCAACCCAGGGATTGAACCCAGGTCTGCCGCATTGCAGGCAGATGCTTTACCCTCTAAGCCACCAGGCAAGTCCTATGAAGATAAAGCAGTCAGGTCTGTTCACTGAGACCCTTCATTATTTTTTAAGAAATAAGAGGATTTCACATGTCAGTGGTATTGTATGACACATGGAATCTAATTTTAAAAAACTGAGACAAATGAATTTATTCACAAAACAGAAACAGATACTGAAAGCAAGCTTACGATTCCCAGGGGAAACATGGGGGAGGAACCCATCAGGGCTTGAGATGAACACACACACACTACTACATGTAAGACAGACAACCAACAAGGGTCTACTGTCTAGCACAGCAAACTCCACTCAATATTCTGGGACAACCCATGTGAGAAAGGAATCTAAAAAAGAATGAATATGAATGTACATAACTGAATCACTTTGCTATACACCTGAAACAAACACAACACTGTAAATCAACTATACTCCAATAAAATTAAAAAATAATGTGATATCTGTTTTGTATCTAAAAAGTAAATATAAACTAGTACTGTGCCTAGTACATCCTTCATGCCAAAGCAATTTAACAACAAAAAAGGACCAGAATTACATGATGCCCTTGATTTTAAATACATTTTACTGCCTACAATTTTACTATGTATCAAAATTAAGAACTAGCAATTCTGAAAATGTCCATAGATATATAAACTCAAATTAAAATTATGGCTTTTTTCAGTTTATCAAGAATGGTGTACTTTCCTCCTTTCTCAGGGGATATGTGATAGTTCATACCTCACATCACAGAAAGAAACACCAAGATCTTCCACAAATCATCTCCTGGCATTCTATTCAGACATTGCACCCTGGGCTGGAAGACCAACACTGGATGCAATGCTTCTACCTACTCCTGATGTATCTCAATAGCTCTCTGGCAAGAGGTCTTTTGATCAGTAAGTATAGTCTTTTATGGGTAAGTATTACTAAAGATAGTACTTAATCACCAAACAATTGAGGCTGTGGCCTAGATTTTGCAAATGTGTTCTGTCTGAATCCCATGTTAGTCTGATCCTCCTTTTCAGTTAGGATGGTACAGAGCTAAAAAGAACCTATCTATCTTCAGAATCACAAAGATTTGAGTTTGCTTCCCTGCTCAGCTGCTTAAAAGCTGTAATTTTGAAAAATTTTCTTCAAATCTTCTTCAAATTTTAGTCTTCTTTTCATCGAAATGGGGATACCAACTTGGCTACAGCTGCAATGATCAGAAACAACAGAAGCAAAGCACCCCATGGAGGGCCTAGCAGATTAAAGGGTCTCAAAAGAGGAGCCAAGTCATGATCAAATCATTCCCTAAAGCAACACACAAGAAACATCATTGAAATAAACAAATATAGTGCATTTCATTAAATGAATCCCCCCCAAAAAGGAAATGGGATCCATAATGATTTACTTTGCCTCATAAATGTCATTTACAATTAATATACAATTATACTTCAACTTAAAATAAAGGAGGTGGTGAGCTTCCCTGGTGATCTAGTGGTAAAGAATCCACCTGCCAATACAGGGGATGTGGGTTCAATCCCTGGTCTGGGAAGACCCCACACTCCATGGAGCAACTAAGCCTGGACACCACAACTACTGACCCATGTTCCAGAGCCTGTGAGCCACAACTCCCGAGCCCGGGTGCCCCAGAGCCCGTGAGCCACAACTCCCGAGCCCGGGTGCCCCAGAGCCCGTGAGCCACAACTCCCGAGCCCGGGTGCTCCAGAGCCCGTGAGCCACAACTCCTGAGCCCGAGTGCCCTAGAGCCTGTGGCCCACGGTGGAGAGCAGCCCCTGCTCGCCACAACTAGAGAAAGCCTGAGCATGGCAACAAAGACCCAGCACAGCCAGAAATAAATAAGTCTTTAAAAAGTAAAAGAAATGAAAAATCCTGAGAAATGAAAGAGAAAATGACATGCCAATCCTTGTCTCCTACACCTAACAGGGATTCCTAACAGAAATTACACAGAAGAGAACTAACGGAAGAAGAAACTCTGAAACCAGGAACCCAGATCACAAAGTGAACAGAAATGGAAAAAAGTAGACACAGCCGCATGTAACTACGGTGAAACATCTAACATCATTAATAACAGTGTTTGGATTTTTTCTGGCTGATAAACTTCCTCTGCAAAAGGAAAAGCAAGCACAGAAGTGAACAAAATAAAAGAAGGAAAAAATAATATAAGAGATAATAGAACTTAGAAATGAAGAGGAATAAAAAAAGACAAAACTTTATCAGAAATTAAGATTGAATCACAAGGTACCCTTAAACAGAAGAGATGCAAATGAAAACTTGAAAAAGGGCAGTGAGAAAAAAAACAATAAAAGAAAGTAAAAGGGGCCACAGAGAAAGTAACAGAAGAGAAGATACAAAGGAGGTTGAATGCTACTGCTGGTGTCTTTGAAGAAGAAAATGAAAATAGCTTAAGTGAACTAATATTTAAAATTTAAGAAAACTTGCTAGAAAACAAGAAAAAGAGACATTAATCTATCAATTAAAGGGAGAAAACCATCCCACAACAAGCAACTCTAAGAATTCCAAGATATACCCTTATAAAAGTGTCAGCCATGAAAGATTAAAAGAAAAAAAAATTTCTCAGAGACTCCAAACAAAACATGAAATAATTC